TGCTGGATTTTGGCAAAGATTCTGTCATCTGTGATGATATCATTCCTAACACTAGGGCTGCTCTGAATTTTCTGTAGTCTACACAGGGGGCAGGAAATGATTTGAAACTTTAAGGGGATATTTTACATGAGGTACATGTAGTGAAAAATAGCTGTTACTTGTTAGGAATTAACTACTAAACAAGGTTTGGAACACTGGTTAGGAAGACAGAACAAGAATAGACCGTTGACCTGCCTGCACACACATACAGCTCACAAGCCCCCCCTTCACAGACGTCGTCCCCCAGTCTCCCCAGCTACTGAGCGGCCGTCTGACTCATTTCATCCAGTCTTCGTGGGCAGAGGTTCCAGTAGCCTCGTCCTCCTCAGGTAGGCCAAGGCCAGATCTACCTCTCAGATGCCTCAACCACTGAAATATTAGGAGTTTGTCTTAGGCTGCTGAACCTAAATTGGCATGTACCTTTAATGACCTTTAGTGGGTTGTATTGAAGCTACATTCTTTGACTGAAATTTTTAATGAAAAATGTACCATTTCCAGTACTCAATGGATATAGCTGTTCATGTAATTCATGACGTTTGACAGTCCATTAAATTAAAAAGAACTGATGCGTAGAAAAGGGCTGAATTGTGCCCACTACAGAAAACAACACACATTATCTTCTTTGATTTTAGTTAGCTTTAATCTTCACTTGCATTGTAACAAAATTTCAAGCGTGGCTGATAAAGTTAACATTCCTTTGAGAGTTTCTCAAAATAAATAGCTTGCAATTCAAACTTTGCATTAAAAATGTTTTGCGTTTGATTCGTTACATTGGAAAACGGATTACATAGAAAAAATTGAGAGCCTAACTTTCATTGAAAGTACTGTACATTAGCTACTACAAGCAATTACAAGCGTGCTTCTTTGTAAGATATAGCATCAAAATTATTTTTTTCATTTGGCTATTTTGAAGTAAAGCTACTTTACAATTAGTTTTGCAATATAATCACATTGTGACTCTTACTGCTTAGTTCATGCCGAACATTATTAAAGAGCATATTAGAAAATACAAAATAATGTAACCAGTACAAACTTGTTTCTCGTTTTACAAGCAATGTACAGTAATACTGTCTTTTGTCTCACTTTTCAAGAGGATTAATGTTTTTTTATTACAGTTGAATGTTAAAATCTACTTACTATATTTTTCTAGACAAGGACAGATAAACTAGTTAAGACATAGCATAATAAGTTAAATTGATACACACAGCTTAATGTTACAAACACCGAATCATATTCTACTAAAAAGGAACAGAAATATCACCGTGAACTCCAAAAATGCAGAATTCACATTTGCTCAAATACTTCTGTAAGCCTTTGCAAACACATGTTCCAAAGGCAAGAGATGCAAAGCAGAAAAAACACAAGTCTTTACTGCAGATTACGGGATTTCTTACAGAGAAAGCCTTTGGGCCGGTCACTGTCAGCTCTGGCACTCGAAATCTGTTTGCAACCACAATACAAATCTCAGAATCCGATCAAATATTTGTCCAACTCTCATTACTCCAGGTATTATTAAGTATTATCCATGGAGTATTTTTCATAAGTTTTAATAGATATTATTTTAATAAGTATATATATTAAAAGTATATCTTATGTGTTCCATTAAAGAGCTTCAATACACATTCCTACTTGGTGACAGGTTGAGATTTTTCACTGTCATTTTGTTCTCACATTTTGCCAAAGTTTGTTCACAATTAAGTGAAGCAAAATTCCATGTGTGACCTGTCACTGAAGTAACAAGAAAGCCCCTGAAGTTCGACAATGGCCTTTTCTTGGATCTTCACATCATTCTTCTATAGGATAGAAAAGGAAAATTACATTAAATTAAGATCATTTCCTTTTCCTGTCCTTTGGTGTGACGAGTATATTTTAGCACTGTATTGGAGTGCCCACTTATAAATCTGTAACTGAGAAAATATGGCAAAAGAATATTCATTTCCGAACCAATGTGTGATGTTTTTAATGTCTCCGCATGTTTATAATATTCAGTCCTTGCATTGATAAACAATTTGATTGTATGAAAGAATGGGGCACTACTACGATTTTTAAGTTTACCTATAAAATTAATATTTTAAGATTTTTCCAATCATTTAGACAATGAGCATCCATTAATTTGAATATCAGTATGGTTTACCTGATGTCTAGCACGCTGAAGCTTCTGAATCTGAAGTTTTGTCACTTCACGTGGCGTCAATGTGTTCACACAGCGAGTCTGCAAAACAATGCAGTGGTTTGTTAAAAATCGTTGATCTTAAAGCAATCTAAATGTATTATTATTTAATTATTACCAAACATGACTAATGATTATTAAACCAGACTCTGAAATCTTTAACACTATGTTTATTAACAAATATATGTCTTCAGACACAAGTCAGAAGACATATATTTTATAATGCTTTTGGTATTTTTAAACCAGAAGCTTAATATACTGGACTTAATGTTAGCAAGACGTTATAAAATGATGTCTGCTTAGATCATGAACATAATAAATCATGTTAATCTACTGTAATTCATCATGTTTTGTTGTATACATTTCCATTTCAGTTTTAAAATCATTGAATGTATCATTCCAACTTTGTTATTGGGGAAACACAATTCAGAACATTGGCTTCTCAGGTCTCTTAGTTCTATTATCAATAGTCACTGAGCCACTGTCTAGAAGCTATAATTTTCTAGATGTCTCATCCATTTACCTCATTTACTGGCATCTTCTTTAGATTTTCACAGGGGATCTTCTCCTTATAAGAGAACACACAGGAAAAATGTATTTTAAACAAAAACTAATGGTTTCAGTAATGCCTTTTTTGTTGTAAATCACAATAACAAAGATTTCCTTGGTATCAACTGCACTTCAATGTTTAATAGTAACACTATTAAGAACCCGCTCAAAGCTCATCTAACAGCTGGTAGCTATCCAGCTACACTTGCTTAGTTTATTAGATTAACTTTATGGTGCCAGACATTGCATTTTTGCAGTATTCTGAATATACTCTCTCAAGTTAGTTTGAAAAAAATGTTAAGAAACTATGATAAACATAGTGTATGGTATTAAAATAATATGGTATAATGTGTTCTCCTATGGTAATATAACTTTATATTACATTATGTATTTTTGTTTATAATGAAATGTTGTGGTATATGTAGTATTTTACCTTAGAATCTCAAGGTGTTCTGCTACAGTAAACTGTAGTAAATTTGTATGTTCTTACTGTATTTGTTTTCTTTTCTTTTTCTACCTGCCTTATCTTCTGTCTTTTTGTCTTTATACAAAAGACGGTAATTTCCCCAGTCAGTATTTCAGACATTTTTCTTTGAAAATTGATACCATTTATCAACATGTTTTCATGTTGTAGTAGCAGACGTTTCACTTCCAGTGTGAATGTTTATATTATACTGATTGGTTGATGAAACTGTTAAGCTGACAATGTCCAAGACGGACAGGAGTTCCATCCAGGTTGCAGTCCAGTGCTATGCTTCTCAGATAGGCTCTAAGTTGCCGCGACCCTAATCATGAATTCTGTAGGTGGCTTTCTAATAAAGGATGGATGGAGTATTAGAAGATTGCTCATGCAAACAAAATTGTTTTTTTTTTATTTGAAGGAGACTCAAAGTAATGGGTATTGTTTGTATTGAAATGAGCAAGTAATATCTAAAAATCACATACAGTACTGCAACACAGAAGGCTAATAGCGGATTTTGATGTAGCTTCAATACCAAGTTGGCCATTCCAGTCTGTTAAACATGCAGAATTCCTGAAGGTCTACAAACTTACCACTTCAAAACATTGCTGCAGTGAATAAATGGTGTGCATTACGTCTTCTTGAACTGTGTCAGTGAATGTTTTGTGGCCTTTGTAGTTTTTCAATACCCCTGTGTAAAACAAAATTATTTCCTTCAAAATACAACCGTGCCATCTTGTCCCCTTTGAAGAAAAAAAAAAGAAAACAGTTTTTTAGAATGTTTCAATGTCTCCGTTTTTTTCTTATTTCAAAGCAGAATGCTGTGACTTCAACTCTGTATTATATTAACGAATATGTCAGGGTCTTCATAAACTTTCAGTAGTCTGCTAATAACAGCAGTAGTTGAGTTACAATCAGGGAAAATGATATGCATTCCTGGTCCTAGGTCTTAGGAGGTCCTCTAAAAGGACCAGGTTATAATTTATAATTAATATATTTATAATTTATAATTATATAATTTATTACTCAATGAGTAAAGATATTGCTAACCGTGCTAACAGAGACTAGTTCTTAAAGAGAACAGTGGAGTTAAATGAAGTCATCAAGATTTGAGGGTGGACTGTAAGCCAAAGACACAGTGGTCCTCCATGCCCAGGAGCAGATGAGCAGTAATGTTTGACGAACACAAGACTGTGGCTCATGCACCATGTTGAACCGAAACCTCATGTCAAAGGCTGATGTTTGTCAGGGCTGGCCAACAGACCCTTGGTTCACTGAACCACAGTGGTCTTACCTATCCACACCTGAAGAAAGCTCCACGGCCGAAACGTTGTGTTCTCTTTCTTCTTTTTTCAGCATGGAATAAACCTATTACTTGTTCCTTTGGTCTTACCTATCTGCTGGCTTTGCTACAGATGCTGTCACTATGAGAATGCTATGGTGTTTCACTGTGCATTGCTTGCTTATACTCAAGCAGTGATGTGAACCACAGTATACAATACTTTGTCTTTCAAGTATGCACGAACTTACTCTGACTCTGTCAAATATTCCATGGGGAAGAAGAATGCTTTCATCATGGGACGTTTCCTTAAAATAAAATAGAAACATATTAACATTGAGAAATTTGTATTAATGACACCAGCATCGGTGCAATGATTGATCAGTAAAATGAAGAATATTAACATGATATCCTAGATTATTTGGTATTTTGTAATCTGTCAGTCTGTGTTTTCAGCCACTATTGGCATGGCACACTATATTGTGTCCACAGAAACCACTAAAACTGATTTTGGTCCAGAACTGGCCATCCAAGCATATGCACTTGAAAAATCAGTACAGCTTCAGCAGTAAATGTAAAACTTTGGCAATGTAGATTCACATAAAAAATGATTAAGCTTCAGTTTCCTCTCCTTTCTCGGTCCACAGAGAATGAAATAATTGTTTGTACAGGATTACCGACAGTAAATACAATCAAATCTTGGCAGAGAAGTGGCTAGTCCTTAACAAAGGAGAAGGCAAGGACAGCAGTGTAATTATTAACGTTACTGAACAGAAAGTACTTACTATGCCGTTTGCAATGTCTGCAGTTAAGCGATCCAAAGTCCTCCTTTTATCCGAGCAGTACATGTTTAGTACTTTTTGTGCGCGTGGGCATCCACCTGGCTTGATCAATGCAGCAAACACCTGACACTGTACCAGCAACACAAGCTGAAGGATCTGAAGCTGAAGGAATCGATTCATTTCGGTTGCTGTCTTTTTCTTCTTTTGCCAAGCACTGAAAATAATCCACTCCTGTCATTGAATTAGAAGCTGGCTTTTAAGGTGTTTCCTTGTGATGTCACTTGGACCTTCCTCTTTTCTTTACTCAGAGAAGTGTGCCATAGTGGAAACAGAGTAATAAACATGGCCCCACAACCTCCCATTGCAAAACTTGAAAAAATGGAACCGGACCCTTTATGAGATTTCGGTTTTGTTTCTATTGCTGGAAATACATCCAACTTTCAAGATATTTCCATTTGAAAAATTAGCAAATTTGCATTTGACTTTTTGGTGACTTTACTTCTTGTTTAGAAATGTTATAGAGCATCTTATTTAGGTCATAGCATTTTAATGGGCTTGGTGGTCATGTCCTAGATTCTAATTATAGAAAAGATGCATCAATTTAGGGCACCTTACACTGTCTTTAGGCGTAAAGGAAACTGCCTATTAAATGAGATGCTCATGATCGGCGTTCTTCCTACTCATGCTAGGTTTTGCTAGACTTAGTTATAGATGTGTTGGGGCTAAATGTGATATATTTTCCACAAACTGTTCCAGACTGAAGCATTTTCTTTACTACAGGTTCACTTAAAACATGGTTGAAACTTATAGTCCCCATTATAATAGAAAAATGTTTTTAAAAAAAACATTGTAACAGAAAATATCAAATTTATTCTCATGGAAGTGTATTTAAAATATAGGGAATGTATGAATTACCTTTACCACACGTACAATTTTCTAAGGAATTTCCTTGTTACAGTTAATTACAGCATGAATTACTGTTACTGAATGGAAAGAGTCCAAGCCTCTGTTTCAAAAGGAAGGATCAAGACCAATTGTTTTAAAAAGAGCAATATAACAAGCCCAGCCCCAAATGCATTGGGTCATGTGCATGAAGTACAGCTTACTACTTCTGCTCTCTTGTGCACTACATAATGAATGGGTTGCATCATGAGTATCAGTGTATTGTTATGCCTGGGGTGATGGCGTTTTGCTATCAAACATAGAAAGGCTTCAAATTAAGGGTATTTTTTTAGGTGTTGGCCTACCTGTGAATGGCTAAGAGATACTATAAGTAAACACAGATTAAGACTAAGGCGGGACATAATGATATGCCCTAGTTAATTAACTTCAGAGTCCATTATTAGGATCGCGAGAATTAAAAATAGAAATTCAACAATACTGGCCATTTCTAGGGAGGTCGTTGTGCCAGGCTTCATAGGAATGGACCACAGTACAGGGATGACGAGATACAAAAAAGAGAGAAAATGGGACAAAAGGAGGAAGATTAAGAGGCACAAGAAGAAGAGAAGAAGGATCATTCCCATCATGCATCTTCCTCTTCTTCCTCCAAGGCTTGAACTGTGCAAGAAATCCTGAGTCTGAGTGCTTAGACCCCCTGCAGTTTGCATACCGGCGCAATAGGTCCACTGACGACGCTATTTCCCTGGCTCTTCACACGGCTCTGGCTCATTTGGATGATAAAGACATGTACGCCAGAACGCTATTTTTTTATTACAGCTCCGCATTTAACACAATAGTCAGGAAGTTTAATGACCTGGGCATCAATGCCTCTCTATGCAGGTGGATTATGGATTTCCTGACTGGCTGAACACAGACTGTGACGGTAGATGGAAAGCTTTCTGACCATCAGTATAGGTGAATATAGGTGCCCCTCAGGGCTGTGTGCTTAGCCCCCTGCTGTTCTCCTTGTTCACCCACGATTGTGTGGCCAGACAAAGCTCCAATTCCATCTACAAATGCTGATTACACTCCCATCATTGACCCAATCACTGCTAATGATGACACAGCCTACAGGGATGAGGTCAGCAACTGGTGTCTGGTGGAGTGGTGTCTTCACAATAATACCTCCCTCAATGTCGGCAAAACCAAGGAGCTAATCATTGATTTTAGAAAGCAGGGTGGGCACCACACCCCTATTGGCATCAATGGGGTGGCTGTTGAGATGGTAAGCAGCTTCAAATTCCTGGGTTCCTTCATCGCTAATGATTTAACGTGGTCCCAACATGTAACTACAGCTACAAAGAAGGAACAACAGCACCTTTACTTACTCAGTTGAAAACGTTTGGTCTATCTTCAACTGTCCTTACCACATTTTACAATTGTGCTATTGAGACTGTAATCACATGTTGGTATTACAGTGCGGTTTGGCAGCAGCCCGTTGTCTGACTGGAAGGCCTTACAGGGCTTGATCAGGTCAACCCAGTCCGTCATTGTAATACAGCTCCCCTCTATTTTAGTCTTCGCTTTCTTAGGAAGGCTGGAAGTATTGCTAAGGATACCAGTCATCCTGGTTTCTCATTTTTCTCCCCTCTTCCCTCTGGTAAGTGTTATAGGAGCATAAAGACATGCACGTCCAGGTTCAGAGACAGTTTCTTCCCACAAGCTGTCAGAATACTGAACTCTACCCCTACCACTGGCTCACACTCATGTGTTTTTTTTTCTAAGATGTATGTTATTTAACTTGTTGTTGCTTCTGCTGCTGTTCTGTATTTGTTTTTGGTGTTTCCTTAATATCTTTGGAGCATACATGCAAATACGCATTTCATTGCGCTTATGAAAATATGACAATAAAATGAACTGAACTGATTACCAGTCTATATTATCAAACTAAAATCCACTCAACTGCTAAGTTTCTGATGTTTTGCATGTTAAATAATAAAAATGATTACAAAAATAGCTACACATTTACATTTGATGGAGTCTGCTAGCAGAATCTGTATGTTACTGTTACCCATATAGTGGTAGGAGCTGTGAACTCCTACTGAATTCACATGCTTCGTTTAACACAGATGCTTCTCCCTCCCTGTACTGATCTTCTATCTTCTGTACTAATCTCCTGATTGGGACGGAATGTTTATACAAAACTCCCTGATAAGAAAGGAATGTTTTGAGTGCTTCCTGGGTCCTGGAGTTTCTTGAGAAAGCTACCTCAAAGAGAGAAGGGGGAGGATGCAGAGAAAAGTATATATACTGTAAGCTGTGTAGAACCATATCTCCTTTGAGCAACAATAAGCCTCAAATGTGTTGTTCCTTGTATACATACAATAAACCTTGACGAACGGATACTTCAGGCTTGAATCTCTTGGTTTCTACACATTATACCATCATAGAATAATGTGTTAATTCATAGAAAATAATGGAAGCCATTTTAAATTAATACATTCATAAGATACTGTACAACTAGAGTAGAAAAGAATGGGAAAAAAACAGACAATAACATCAATCCCTCTAACAGATTTTACAAAACAGGTATATTGTAAACAATAAAAGTTGAAAGTGAAATTGTCAATTGATTCCAGCTTGAACATGACTTCACAAGTGACTGTAAACAATTTTCATGGAGAAATCATGCATGAGGTATTTGTTTTGATTAGCTTGAATTATTTTGAATGGTTAGCCTTTCTGGCTTCGGTAAGAGAAGATATTCATCGTCACACACTGAAAGTGGTTGAGGTTAAAGGTTTATTAAAAGCCTATAGTAAAAACTGTTTATAGTAAAAAGCCTATAGTAAAATCAGTAAAGACCTGATTTCTCATTATGTTAAGTATAATAAAAACATACTGTACAGTATCTGATGGAGGAACACAGAGGCTGAATTTATATTTTGTGATGTCCAATTAAGTTTCATTTAAGAAAATCAATGTTAGGAGGTGTAATTGTAAAGCTTAACTTGTGAATAATTAAACATGTAAGATATCTTCATACACACGAAATTAAACAAGTAGAGATTCATAAGGCACCCAATCCGTTTTTAATAAAAACTTGAATCGATGATCTTCATCTTCAAGAGTACATAAATAACAACTTGTATAACAGGAGCACTACAGGGAGGAATATTAAAGAAAATAAATATTACCGATAACATCTGACGTTGCTATCCTGCTTAGAGAAACACATGGAGAACACATTTTAACCCCCCCTCCCCTTCTCAGGGAGTTTACATACAGTATACAGTATGTGATGCAAATGTTTTCAGAAAGTGGGACTTGTTTCAAAATGTTTCAATGGAAATTATTTTGTATACAAATGTATGCAAATGTTTTCAGAAAGTGGGACTTGTTTCAAAATGTTAAAATTCTTTTGTATATAGTATATTAAAATATATCTTTAACACTTGGGTAGAAAACCAATACACAACATAGTCTGGTTCTCAATGATTTTCAGTCCATTGATAATAAAATACATAAGCTAGATATCCCATGAATGTAGGTCAAGAGGATTTCCTTTTTGTGTTCTCGCAGTACCCGAGTACACCACCTGGTAGCGCCGTAAAAAAATGTCCTTGTCATTGCTTGCCCAGTGACAGGGTAATACAATAATAACATCGACGTTTTTAATTATATAGTTATTTTTATTTAATGGTAGTTTTCAGTATTCAGCCCCTTAACTGTACAGTTAATTTCACAAACTGAACAACTTTGACATTTTTTAGGATTCTGTTTAAGTCCCACTGCAGAGCTAAAAAAAAGCTAAGTAATGCCATCGTAAAGTCATCTGATACTTAAGCACTAGTTCCTTTCATGCAAAAATAAAACAAAACTTAAAAACCAGCATAGGTATGCACAGTGTCTATTAACAGCTCCTCATCCACTTGTTAACGAAGACACTTTCAGGGCAAGTGCTGACGAAAACATTTTAATGTGGTCATAAGCACTCATCTAAGGGTTTAAATAACTTTAGGTTGAAGTACTATAAACAATGGAAAGCAAAATAGAAGACTTAACATTCTGTAAAATACTATGAAAAGACTATTTGGAAGTATTGCAGTGTGTGAAAAGGCCGTGGGCCTGCACACAAGACCGGTCACAATTGTGATAATGAACACACCCTGGTGAGTTAATGTACACAGACAGAGCTAGATCAAACAGCTCTGATATTTAAAGACTTACATTACACAAGCAGCACTTCGCAGAGCAGAAATCATGCTCAGAACTTATTCCAGGGAAGCCCATTCTAGTCATCGAAAAAGAATCCCTGGTGATGCATCCCAGCACTACTCAGCTAGTGTCCATTAAGCACAAGCAGCATGCCCCATTTATATAAAAACTAAAAGAAAATAAGCATTCTACCAGGTCTGCAGAGGTTCTACACAAAAATCCTTCTTTGTCTCTC